TCAGGTTGCCCCGCGAACGGCGAGCGGATGCGCCCCGGCTTCTGGAGCCCGCCCGGGAGCCGGGCAACCGCACACTTGAGAAGGCAGCCCCGCCGGTTTCGGTGACAGCGCACCCCCCGGGACCCTGCCTTTGTTCCCACGGGCGCTCGTCCGACTCTCCTGGAAGGCACTTTGCGGCTGGAGCCGAGGAGTGAGGCTCTCTCCCGCCGTCTCCAGCCTGCTCCCCCCGCGGATTTCTCCTTTCCGGGGCTAAGCGGTCCCGGCGCCGCTCGGAGCGCGGTTTTCCACCTGCAGCGCCCCTCCCGGGAGATCCCTTCGCGCGCCCGGGGCCGCGGGCCAGAGCTCCCCCTCCCCTCTCCAGCGAAACTTGGTCCCGCGGTGACCCCCAAGAGACCGCATCTCATGATACAGATCATTTACGAGCCAAGATAAGGCCGGGAGGTGGGATTGGCCGCGAGAGCGGCTGATATACTGGAGTGTTTTCTTGGAGGGTTCTTCTTTCCAGCCGCGAGGTGGGGGCTTTTGTGTCGACGAATGGCCAGAGTTTTGGGGCTCGCATGCAGAAAGTTTCTGGCATGAAGTGCGTTACACTCCTCTAAAGTTGTTGGAGAGTTGACCTTTTTGCAGAAATAGAGGAAAAGAGGGAGGAAGAAGTGGAGCGAATAAAAACAGTAAGCGTAAAGGAGAAGGAAAGACATGTAGAGGAACAGGGAGAGGAGGGGAGAGAGCGAGTTTGGAGAGAGAGCACCAGGGAAAGGAAACAGCGAGTTGAGAGCGAGAGAGAATAGGAAAGAGAGACAGACAAGAGACAGAGAGAGACAGAGCGACACCAGAGACGAGAGAGAGAGAGAGAGAGAGAGAGAGAGAGAGAGAGAGAGAGAGAGAGAGAGAGAGAGAGGAGAGAGAGAGAGACTGAGACTCTGAGACCAGCGATGAATGGAAAGGGCGAGGAGGCGGCTGGAGCCCGGCGAGCTCTCTCTCTGGCTTTGCGTTGCTAGGTAGCAGCCGGGAGCTGCGTGTGACCGACCACCAGACAGACAGCGGACGCTGCTGCCGCCGCGGGGACTAATCTGTCTGTGGGGATGGGAGAGTCCCCCCCCCCCACTTCCCCCTCTTGCTCCTTCCCTCCCGTCGGACAACTTAATTGCCCTACAATGAATATGAAATCCTTATTGTTGTCGGATTAGCCAAAGCAATAAATTGATTTTCCTGGATCACCTATTGGGGTTGACGGGTGGGGACTGTGGAAACCCCCATTTATGGAGGAGAGAGGGGAGGGCTTGTGGATGGGCCGTGGCATGTATTCAAATGGTTAATCTGCTTTCTTTCCTCAATTCTTAGCGTAAGCTCCTTAGAGAGAATCAAGTAAGTAATTATACAGCAACTCCTAGCAGCACCCATTTCAGACTTCCTGGGAAGAAATTTGGAAAGGCTAACAAACCCCACTGGCCTTGCAAAAATCTTTGGAAGGGAGGGGAGGCAGGGAGAGACTGTTAATTTTCCTTTGAACGTTTTTTCTCATTATTGGTAACATAGAAAGAGGGTTTATTATTATGGAGCATGCTTAGGGTTATATATCTATATCTCATGTCCTAAATAGAGCGATTCCCATCCTATAATTTTTTATTTTTTATTTTTATTTTTTACTATATGTTTGTGTCAGTGCCTGGCAAAAGGACATCTTTTTTTTTTTTTTTTTTTTGAGTCGGAGTTTCACTCTGTCCCCCAGGCTGGAGTGCAGTGGCATGTTGATGGCCACCACAGCCTCTACCTGCTGGGTGGGGTCAGGTGATCCTTCTACCCTCTACCTTCCAAGTAGCTGGAACCACATGCGCCATCACACCTGGCTGATTTTTTGACTTATTTTAGAGACGAAGTCTAACCATGTTGCTCAGGCTGGTCGCAAACCCGTGGGCTCAGGCAATTCACTCGCTTCAGCCTCCCAAAGTGCTGGGATTATAGGTATGAGTCACCGCGCCTGGCTGGTTAGTCTTTTTTGTTTGAGTCGGAGTATCACTCTGTTGTCCAGGCTGGAGTATAGTGGCATGCTCACGCCACCCCAGCGTCCACCTGCTGGGCTCCGGCGATCCAACTGCTTCAGCCTTCCAGATGGCCAGAACTACAGGAGTGTGCACTATCACGTCAGGCTAATTAAAAAAAAAATGTATTGTAGAGACGAGGCCTCACCAAGTTGCCCAGGCTGGTCTCGAACCTGCACGAACTCAGGCAATCCACTAGCTTTGGCCTCCCAAAGTGCTGGGATTATAGGCTGAGCCACTGAGCCTGGCCTGGTTAGTCTTTAAAAAAAATTATTCCACATCTATAGTTTAAAATTATTTGTATTTTCCTTATATTTTGTATAATGTTTCCAAGAAAAAAAATTTGGGAGAGACTGAACTCAGTCAGGCTATCTGGGTTCCAAAAATTGTTTCACTATTTTCTAGCTGTGTGGCCTTGGAGAAGTCACCAAAGTTGGCAAAGCTCCGACTGCTTATCTGCAAAATTTATTTATTTATTTATTTTTATTCAGAGACTTGCTCTGTCGCCCAGGCTGGGGTGCAGTGTCACGTTCCCAGATACTGCAGCCTTGAACTGCTGGGCTCAGGGGATCCTTCCATATCAGCCTTCCGAGTAACTGGAACTAAAGGCGTGCAACACCACAGTGGGCTAATTTTTTGATTTATTGTAGAGACAAGGCCTCACCAAGTTGCCTGGCCTGGTCTGGAACCCGCGGGCTCAGGCAATTCACTCACCGCGGCCTCCCAAAGTACTGGGAATAGAGGCTGAGCCCCTTAGCCCAACCAGCATTGTTTTACAGATAAACAATGAACCCAGGAGGGAAGAGGAGACTGAAAGTAGTGAAAGGGGTTAAGTGCTTTGCCTAAGGACATGTGGCCTGTGATAGAGCTAAGATATAAACTTACAATTGACCATTTTTAGATACGTGTCCTCTAATGTCCTTAGCCTCTTTGGTTGAGGAAATTTCTAGGTTCCTTTTGGTTGATCCTGATTTATCAGATGAAGCACAGAATGTATGATGAGTGGATGAATTTTTTTTTTTTTTCGAGTTAAGTCTCACTCTGTCACCCAGGCTGGAGTGTCTCGACCTGCTGGGCTCAGGTGATCCTTGCACCTCAGCCTTCCAAATAACTGGAACTACAGGCACGCACCACCACGCTTGGCTAATTTTTTGATTTATTATGGAGATGAGGTCTCTCCACGTTGCCCAGGCTGGTCTCGAACCCGTGGGCTCAGACAATCCTCTCACCTCAGCCTCCCAAAGTGCTGGGATTATAGACGTGAGTCACCGCTCCTGGCCAACTGTCTCATATAGATTTCTATCCATCATTATTATCCCCCTCATAAATTTGACTTTTTCCAAACTTGAGGTGGAGAAACCATTATGATATCTTGGTATTTTCTTTATAAGTAGTCCTGTGAATGATGTACCTGAGCATGCTGATATATCCTTTTAGTGGCTATAGTAACTTTACATTCATATTACTTAGGATTCTTATGTTTGTAAATGACAGAAACCTAAATTAAATTGCCTGGAGCCAAAAAGGAATTTTAAAAAATACTTAATTGGACAGATACAGATATTAGGTTGATATATTTGAGACTGTCTTTTTTTCTAGGCAGAAATAACCAAATATTGGCAATTTCATGTGGTTCAACCTAACATAAAATGGAGGGCATGCCAATCCTGTTTTTCTCTCTCCTGGCTCTGATATGACACCATTCTCAAATGCTCTTCTCTGGTGTTGTAAAGTGGAAATCAGTGACTCTGCAGCCAGCCCCTGTTATGTCATGCCCACTGGGGAAGAACAAGCGTTTTTGCCTTGACTGTTCCCAACAGAAGTCTGAGCTGCATCTCAGATCATAAGCTCACTGGATCCTGGGTCATGAAGTATTCTCATAGCTTAGGCTTGGATTGCATGTTCACTCCTTGAGGTCATGTACTAAGGGTTTACTCCGGAAGGAAATTGGAATAAGGCTACCAGGAGAACAGTGAACAGATGCTGAACTGCAAAAATAACAGGTGTCCAGTACACCTTATCAGATAAAGTTGACTGATGATGTTATTTTCATTTTATATGTGAAGACAGACTTGAAAAGGCTGCAGAAATTTCTCAAGAGCTGTCAGGCCTGGGATAACTCACAGAATTGAAGGGAAAAAAGCACTAGAAACAGTAAGATAAAAGACATGGTGCTGTGTGTTCATGTAATCATGTTGCACCTTTACGCCTAGAAGAACAGGAGAAACAAGGTTTATTTGGAGCCTAAAGTTTTCCTCTTTAGAGCGGATTTTATTGACACAGGAAAGTTCTGGAAAATAAACTGATCAGAATGCAGGAGCTCCTGAGTCCATTGTAGGTTTTCATTTTTCTGTGAATCTTAGGCCCTGCTCCTTTTCCAACTGACTTCCCTCCCTAAGACTTTTTTTTTTTTTTTTGAGTTGGAGTCTCACTCTGTTGCCCAGACTGGAGTGCAGTGGTACACTCCCAGCCACCGCAGCCTCGACCTGCTGGGCTCTGGTGATCCTTCCGTCTCAGCCTTCCAAGTAGCTGGAATTACAGGCATGCGCTGCCATGCCCGGCTGATTTTTTGATTTATTGTAGAGATGAAGTCTCGCCAAGTTGTCCAGGCGGGACTCGAACCTGCGGGCTCAGGCAATCCACTCACCTCAGCCTCCCAAAGCAAGGGATAGACTTTATTTTCTAAACACTAGTCCTCAACTGTGAGGATGGGGTAGAGAAAGAAGAGTTTGGAGACAGGTTAAGATGCTTCTATGGTGACATAATACATCTTGGTGCATATTTTAAGAGTCCCTAGTACTTCACCTAGGGGCTTCCTCCATAAATGGGAGAACAGTTTTATATATATATATATTTTTTTTTTTTCCCCCTTGAGTCGGAGTCTCACTCTGCCACCTAGGCTGGAATGCAGTGGCAAGCTCATGGCCACCGCAGCCTTGACCTTCTGGGCTCAGGTGATCCTTCCGCCTCAGCCTTCCAAGTCGCTGGAATCATAGACGTGCCACTACGCCAAGCTCATTTTTTATTTATCATAGAGACCAGGCTTCGCCATGTTGCTCAGGCTGGTCTCCAACCCCTGAGCTCAGGTAAGCCTCCAACCTCCCAAAGTGCCAGGATTATAGGCGTGAGCCACCGCGCCCAGCTGAGAATAGTTGTCTTTTATACTTTACCGGATTAATCCAGAAATGCCAAGCATTTGGACTCTACAGTGATGATTACTTTGTTGGTCTTTAAGTCTTATTTCTAATAGTATTTGCTGAGAAAATGGAAACATTATCATTCCAAAAGTAAGATGGTTAACTTTTATATTTGGGCACTTTTTTTTTTTTTTGAGTAGGAGTTTCACTCTGTCACCCAGGCTGGAGGGCAGTGGCATGCTCCCAGCCTTGACCTGCTGGGCTCAGGTGATCCTTCCGCCTCAGCCTTCCAAGTAGCTGAAACTACAGGCACACGCCACCACACCTGGCTAATTTTTTGATTTATTGTAGAGATGGGGTCTCATCAAGTTGCCCAGGCTGGTCTTGAACCTGTAGGCTCAGACAATTCTCTCACCTTGGTCTCCAAAGTGCTGGGATTATAGGTGTGAGCCACCACAACTTACCTTATTTAGGTACTTTTAAAAAATTTTATTT